AACTGCAGTAGTTAGCGTTATAAAGTATACAAATTAAGAAACAACTAGGGTACTATATACAAAGTATGCATATCAAGCCTTGACCAGACCTTAACAGTGCGGTGGTAATTGGTACTATGAGATGCGAACCGGTTGGGGGCAGCTAGCTGTGCTGGCATCCTCCAGATGACGGGACGTTCACCATTTCGCGATTGTCCTGGCTAGGCGAGAGGGGACCACCATACACGCAGCAACATCCTACATTGTTTGGGGCGCATGAAAGACCATGGTTTCACGGGCTCACATATTTTTCGTTTTCCTTGAAATCAAAATCTAATAGCTAACTGTTTAGGAGTTGTTACCTCAATGACACAAAGGTCTCTGTAGTGCGGAGCACTACTGTAGGGTGGTCTGCCTGCAGTTAGCACAGGCACATTCACTTGGCCCTGGTAGGTCGCATGCAAGCAAATACAAACGCTCTATATGTGTATAGACAGGTAAAGCTTGCAGTAAAGGGAAGCTTAGTTGAAGCTTTCTTGTAGGCTGGCTAGCACCGTCAGCTTGAGCTAGGTGCACTGCAACTGCAGATAGGCTGCCTCTTCCCCCCCAACCCCAGTCCCTGAATTCAGCCCCCAGAATTCTTAGGGAGAGGGGAAGAAGGTCAGTTGCTTTCGAGGAAACTCTTACCTCAAGCCGTTGCCTTCGTCGCAATTCGCTTCTGTTCTTGAATGGGGCCGGAGAGCAGGTGGTACAACTACAATGCTGTTCCTGTATGGGTTTTCAGTGGGAAAGTGGCAGTATGAGGTAGGAACACTAAAATAGGAGATATTGCTTTGCTTTCCGATCTGGTCCGCAAACAGTCTTTTGCAGCAGGTAATCGAATAGGACTGCTCAGCAGGATACCCGCGGGGACGTATAGAGTGTGAGAAACTCCCCTTCAGAAGCGCCAATCTAAAATGAGTTCGGGGCCTTAGGGATCATGCGGTCCTCGGAACCTGATCCCACTCACGTCAGTAGATGCACTAGTCTCTGCCAGCAGCTCCGCTTCTTGTGCCCCCAACGACAACACAAACGCAGATGAAAAACACAATTGTGAGGCGTAGAAGGGATCCAACTTCCCTCA